GGAAATGCCTTGTTGATGCCAGAGGTCAGAGGAGAATGGCCAGACTGGTTCGAGCTGATAGAAAGGCAACAGTGACTCAAATAACCACCCGTTACAACCAAGGTAGGCAGAAGAGCATCTCTGAACGCACAGTACGTCGAACTTTGAGGCAGATGGGCTACAGCAGCAGAAGACCACACCGGGTGCCACTCCTTTCAGCTAAGAACAGGAAACTGAGGCTACAATTTGCACAAGCTCATCGAAATTGGATAATAGAAGATTGGAAAAACGTTGCCTGGTCTGATGAGTCTCGATTTCTGCTACGACATTCGGATGGTACCTCTGGCATCAACAAGGCATTTCCGCCCACAGAACTGCCGCTCACTGGATATTTTTTCTTTTTCGGACTATTCTCTGTAAACCCTAGAGATGGTTGTGCGTGAAAATCCCAGTAGATCAGCAGTTTCTGAAATACTCAGACCAGCCCTTCTGGCACCAACAACCATATATATATATATCCTTTCATTCATTCATTCATTCATTTTCATCCGCTTATCCGTTACCGGGTCGCGGGGGCAGCAGTCACCACCCAAATCACATTGCACCGTACCTAAACCTTCCTGTGGGTGGTGAGTCCACTGGAAGGTACCAACCACCCTAACCGGGATTCGAACTTGCCCAGGAGGTGAACCCTGGGGTTCCACACCAATGACAGAGACATTGCCTCTGGGCCAAAGCGCCACTATATATATATCCATCCCCTGTATATGATATGTAACTTTTTGGAACAGAATCCATATTTATTTAAATGTTCTCAAGTAGATCAATAAAGCGGTTCACAACCTTTTTTGTATCAAGGACCGGTCTGCCGGTATCAGCCCCTTACTGTGGAGCGGTAATACTGTGCCATTGTTGCGAATAATCATTATATTTTCTAAATAAAACATCTTTTAGACTTTATTCTGTTACTATCGGAGTCTTTGAAATATTGCCAGATTACCTTTAATGAAAAAAGTAACAGGATATGACAGGATTCTTTTTTAATTATGTAAATTAATAAAACCGAAGCACATTATTTCAGTGTCCCACTGCGCCCTGGTACTAAATGGCCTACGGACGTGATAAATAACTTAACCTATAATGTGTTTCCTTTGCTGCAGAGAGGAGACGATCCCGCTCCACCTCCCGGGAGCGTGACCGCAGGAGAAGAGAGAGAGATCGCTCTCGTTCTCGAGACAGGGACAGAGACAGACGCCGAAGTCGCTCACGGTCCCCTCACAAGAGACGTTCAAGGTGAGTTATCCTACTGGTGCTTGTTTGTTGTAGAATGTGTCTATTTTGGTTTTTCACATACCTTGAATTTAGCCAAGATAAATGTATAGTCTTCAACTGAAGTTGACCTTTGTTTAATTAAGTAGGGCAGCAAGTGAATATTTTCCAAATAATTAATCATTGGTTGCTGTCAGTGAATAGTGTAATTGTAATACTAATATAATATTAGTTATAATTTATCAAGATTAATTGAAGTTCCTAACTCCCATTTGCAGGTAGATGTATGTGTTTCAGATATTTTTTGTGTCCTATGTGACTAATCTAAATGATGGAATTATTAGTAATGCCAAGAACATTGTGCAATAGTATAACTCACAATGTATCTTAATAGCTTTGTTGGAATTTAGTCATTGCTGTTCATCCTGTAAGTGGGTTGTAGAACAAGAGTTGTTTTCAAATCTTTGTTGAAGCTGTTGCATCCACTCTGTTTTAATGCAACTATAGAGATAGACGGGTGAATTACTGGACACCATGTGTCTAACTCTGCCCATTTATAAGTGCATTATATTTGAATCTGTCACATAACAATGACTCTGTAAAAAAGTGTGGGTTTTAATAATGTGAATTTTAGGATTTGTTGTCGCAGCAATTCGTTGATTGCTGTTTAATCAAATTTTATGCTTCCCTCAAATGTTAGTAGTCATGCAATTATTTTTATTCAGCCTTCACTAAAAGGATGACCAATCTAATTACAACATATAGGGCTTTAGTTACTCTCATTAGTCGTGATAAGTCGTCCTGCAGCCATTTGTGTGTTTCCTTTGCAGGTCTCCTGCAAGACGTCATCGCTCCACCTCCCTCTCTCCAGTAAGACAGAAAGACAAACGTGATGATGACCGTAAAGAGTCAAAAGACAAACATGCAAAGACAGTGCAAATTTCAGGTTAAAAATGTTGAAGTTACACACAGGTTCAGCTGCCAACCACTATAATTTTTATGACTAAAAACCTTTTTTTTCTTTTTTACAGCTGAAGACATGGCAGGCAAAACAGAGGAGGAAATTGCGATGATGAAACTAATGGGATTCGGTTCTTTTGACACCACAAAGGTGAGAATAAGTAAATGGCTGTCCTGTGCAATATAGCCACAAGGAGGTGCACTTTATTGTTGTACTTTTTAATGGTTTAGGAGTGCACTAGCTAAAATATGATTTATATCTCTGTATTTATTACATGATAATGTATTCACTATGTTAATTTTCCAATTAACAAATATGACCCCTGCATAGGTATCAATTCAAGGGTTGATCTCTATGACAACATTTTTACTGAGTTTTCAGTTTATGCTTCTTCAAAAAGTCATTGCATTACATTTTTTGGCATTTTTTTTGTGCTTCCACAAGGCATGGATTTCTTAGAGCTTGTGGGAAACACATTTTTTTCTTAATTTTTTTTTTTTAAAGCTTATTCTGCTAGCACTATTTTATTTGGTTAGCAGCGCTCTTCAAACATAGACATTTGTGGTTTAAGGTTATCAATGCAAAAGTGGATGCAAAAAAGTATATATATTTTAATATTTTCTAAGGTCAATATTAAAATGACTCAAGGACTAATATGCTTGGTAAAATAAGTTCTAAAATCACCACTTTTGAAAAAGCAGGGGAAATGTAAATGCTCTTTTTTTTCATTAGCATAATGCTAAAACATGCATAAATGTTTATTGAGACATGAGATATCTGATATTTTTGTTAACAGGGCAAGAAAACTGATGGTTCAGTGAATGCATACGCAGTCAATGTGACGATGAAGAGAAAATACAGGTATGTCAAGCAGCTGATTTTTAACAAGGGCATTGTCTGAAACCCAGATGATGGTCATATGGCGAAGTTAAACGTCAAACCTTTCCACCCCCTCACTCTGTGCTCCCTCACTGTTTTTTAACCAATCACCTCTGCAGGTTTTTCTATGCTGAGATCCCAGCTGTCCCATTGGTGCACGATGATGTAATCTGAAATTGTTGCGAGGGTAACACTGATGTAATTTCTCTTTTATATATTTATTTTTTTGTAGGCAATACATGAACAGAAAAGGTGGATTCAACAGACCGTTGGACTTCATTGCGTGAAACAATATAACACTGAAGTATTTCCTCCCTCACAGTTGGTCCTGGTAATCCTTCTAGTGTGTTTTTTTTTTTTTTCCCTCTTCATATTTACATTTTTACATGAAAATACATAAATGTATACTATACTGCTTGCAATTAGTCACAAGTGTTGAAATTAGTCCAGCATGATATCTTTATCTTGTTGTAATAGATGATGTTGTACTTGAAATAAAATAATTTTCAAAAATAATGCACTTGATTTTTGTTTAGTTCTAAGATGTATGTGCAACAGGTTTTACTTTTGTTTCATTGTTATTCAACACTGATGGAAAATAAAGAACGAGTTGTAATCTAATTATAATGCAACTCTGTTAAGGACTTTAAACCTAAAAGAAATGTTCTTTTTCGATTTAATGAGGCCCAGTTATATTTATCTTTGTTCTGTCATTACGTTTTAAATCATAACAACAAAATGGGAACGTATTAAACATTTAAAAATGGTTTCCACATTACTGTGGTTAGTGCGCAGGTGTAGTGAGGCTGACCAATAGGAAACGAGCATGTGAATCGGACCAAACATCGATGAGGAAGCGAAACAAACAACACAGAAGCCAATAGTATACTTCCACCGTGAAGCAGCATGGCAAGGAGGCATGTCCTGTCAGTAGGAGGTGCAGCCTCCAGCTCGTGGGCAAAACGGCCAATTAGAAAGAAGATTATCAGACAACAACCAATCCCAGAGCAAGCATGGTTAGTATTGCAACTACTTCCATTTGGGGTCGGCGCTGTGATTGAACGTAGTGATGAATTAGAACCAAAATGGCCGTCACTGATTCCCGGTGGCAGACAAGAGCGCCTACCAATGGTGATTGACGGCTAGATTAGCCAATAGTCCTTTGAGATGATTTGTGATGTCCAGTATCCAATCAGGTAGCGGCACACGGCTGATATTGGCAGCGGAGAAGAGTATAGTAAGCTAGCCGTCGTCCAGATCAACAAGGCTGTGTTTTGGAGGCAGTTTAATAAACACCCACTGCTTGTCAGCTGATGCTAGTCGCAGCTTGCACTCCCTCAGTGACGTGTCACGCGAAACCAGGGATAAACCAGCACAAAACTAGCCGAGCCACACTGAACCCTGGGTCGCTTTGGGTGGATGAATTCGTCGAAGTGAACTTTTAAAGGCAGCTAGCTTTTTTAATGCATTTCGAGACAGGGCGACTCTGACAGCTGAACAAGACAGGAACCTCCTCGACTCTCGACCTTTATACAAAAGAAGCGAGCCAGGAAAATACATTTTACTCTTTTAAATTGATAATTAAGCCACTTTTAGACAAACAAATTATAATTGAGAATCTCGCTTCTTTTCATTTTTTACCAATTACGCCAAATTTTTCGACCAATGTTTTTCGTTTTTGAAAAGCTGCTTTAAACAAACGGGACGAATTATTTAGCTTTATTAATTTAAAGTAATTTTCTTCGTTATTTTAAAGGGACAAACTAACCTACAGTTGTTGGACAAGTGTTAGCATTTGCCAGGCTAACATAAACCCCTGACAACCACTAAGGCTTCTCTCTGTGGCTGGTGCTGCGTTCACGGGGCACTTGATTTATATATTGCCCGTGTTAAAAACTCTTAACGACTTACCAAATTTAATTTTGTTAAACAAACATTAGACACTTAAACTCAGAGCTGAGCCAACGCTTGGACCTGAAGCCAGTCGTGTGTGTGTAAGTGTGTGTGTGTGCGTGTGCAGCCACGGAATTCCCTTATCACCGGATTGTTATTTTATCAGTGTTATATTGCGGAAAATGGCGGCGGTCGGAATGGTGCAGATGTTGATCGAAGCAGCCGAGTTTCTTGATCGCAGGGAACGAGGTAAAGTGTCATTACATTGTTTAACACTATACTCAATCCCCCCTTTCCAATACTGTTTGTGGAAAAATGGCAGCGACATTTATTCTCCACATATTCTAGACATGCACCTGTCATTGTGGATCTGTAAAATTCCCGTCATTTGAACACACAATCTACCAGAAGTGCATTCAAAACCTTTATATCATACAGTGTTTGCAAAACAGAGTTGAATCAAAAGATGTGATGTATTATTGTTTTTCTACTGTCATGTATATGTGAATTAATATCTATGTGCATTTTGGTTTAAAAAAAAAAGCAAAGATGTATATGTGGCAGATGCATTTAAATGTGCTTGGAGACATTGTTTTTATGGAGGCCCCTCCTTTCCCTCTGTTGTGGTTCACTAGTAGGGTTTATTTCAGTTCAAGATGACATCATTGTGCAGACTGGGAGGAAGAAAATAGAGTAAAATATACTGCATGAAATCCATCCATTACACATCTCAAAATACTGCTACCAGATGCATGAAGAATACAAATCAAATGTAGCACATGTTTAAGTCTTTCCATTACTGTTTTGGTGCCTTTTTCCACAGTGCTGCTGTATCACTGTATTTTTCAGAGACTGATATCAGGACATGTGACCACGTTGTTTATTTTCTTGCAGAAGCTGAGCATGGCTATGCCTCCATGCCACCTTTTGTCAGCAGTCGAGAGAGGGAGAGCTTGAAAAGGAAAAGCAAAAGCAAAAAAAATACAAGTAGCAGGTAAAAATAAAATCCACCTCCATCCAAAATACACATAAGAGGAATATCCTTGTAATAACAATATCAGATAATAACCTTTTAATTATTTACAAATGTGAATGGTGATCGTTAAATATCGTTAAGTATATTCTTTTCTCTATCAATTTAAATTGCCTGAGGTTTTGCCTTTTTATGTTTATATTTTATTTTGGTTTGACATTAAAATTTTTGTCATTAAATTTCATTAATGTTTAGCTCATGGCATGCTAAATGTTCTACAATGGTATTTTTAGCAATGCGTTATTGTGTTTCTCGAGCAATATATATACAAACTGTATATATATATATGCCAACATCCTTAGAGAGTTTGTGTTTTTTTGCCTTGTTTGTCACATGAATCCCTTTCCCGTTGTTCAATACAAACATTTGCATTTAGAGGGCAGTCTAAAACTAGCTTGGTCACGGACCACATCAGTTCTTCACACAACGTTGAGATCTTAAGAGACAATTGTACAAGGGAAATAGGTCACTTCTTTGTTAATACATCTCACCCAGTTTTCTCTTAATTCTTAATGACTAACTAACATCAGTCAGTGGCATCATGCCTACGTGTGTGCAAGGTCATGTTTTCTGTCTCCTCGTTGTCTTCTATAAAGCATGACTGACAGCAGCAAAGACCAGCAGACTGGGTCAGTCAAGGTGACAGTATAACACATTTTTCTGAGGGGGCAGGTCTTCACTCCATGCTTGCACATTCATCTGGCAATGCGAAGAGCATAAATCAGTCATATTGAGGCATTTATGTGACTTTCTACCGTACTGCTGTAGTGAAACTCAACTAGTAATTTGAGTATTCCTCAACAAGATGTTCACCCCAAACACTTTAAACAAAGATTAAAAGTAAATCTGGAAGAAATACAACATGGTCCAATAAATCTTAATTTATGTTCAGACTGCAGCAGGTACAATCACATAAATGTGTCACAACTGTTAATCTACAGAGTCGACCTATCAGGTGTCAGAAGTCCAGACTGCTGTGTTTTTGTTTTTTTTTGTTGTTTTTGGTTTTTTTGTCATCCCTGCTCATTACTTTGAAAATGATACCCAACTAAAAGTGCTCTGAAAAGTAAAGCTTTGTTTGAAGATAAGATATCAGTCCCATGCTAGGCACCCCAATTAGAGTTTTCACATAGATAGAATAAAGTTAACTATCCTCACCTTTCATGAAAATAATAATCAACCATAAAGTATTAATGGTTAGCAGTTATACCAACAGCAAATCCTGTTTGTAATTAATTGGTAAAAAGTAGTAGATTCCACTAATATTTCCAAGCATTAGAAATGTTTCCCAGTGACCAAAGCAAAATAACAGTATGACAACTCATTAGTTATATGAATATTTTTTTCCATGTTGAATTTACAAATATACTCTAGTTTGAATGGCAAAGGGTTAAATGAAAGGACGAGAAAAATTAACTTAAACTTTGCCCCCATTTGGTAATGCTAGCCTGGTTCTAATTGTTTGACTTTCACTGGCCTACCTCATTTCAAGGATTTATCTCTCTAGTGAATTTCACCGAGAAACAAAGTAAAATGTATTTTAAACATACATAAATAAGCATTATTCCCAATGCAATTGAATAATTATCAGACTGTGTCAGAAAAGCTGTGACCATAAGAATAACACATTTACTTCACATTGACTTGGATGGAGTTCTACTTCCAAAGCCAAACATTTGCAACAAAGTGCTTGGTCCACTGCATATGTGTGGTCTATTGTTTTGGATATATTCAACCACTCCCCAGCGTTAAACGTACTGGGAGGAGTGACTTGTTGTTCGTATCATGTTGCTATTCAGGAATTTCTGGTGTAGCCTTTGTAAACATGTAACTCTAAGTTGAACACTACACTAAATGACGAGTTGTTAAAGACACAAAAGAAAGACTAAGACTAAGAAAATGTACTTGTACTTCCTTTTAAAAAAATTAATGAAGAAGAACAAAGTAGATAAGATGAAACCTACTTTACTCCTACAGAAATGTCAAAATTAGTTTGGACCAGTGTGGAAAACAGTTGGTTAAAACTGGTCATATATTACCATAAACACTATAGTAAGTTGGAACGCAGTAGACAATGGCAGCAAGGTTCAAATAAGGTTCATTGGCTTCTTCAGTAAACTGTAGTAAACCAATTGGAATCTCTTTTTGGTATGTCACTATTAAAGCTACTGTAGTACCAACAGCTGTCACCATCCACCTATCTTGCTCAACACATGCCGTCTTCTGCCAAATCTGATGTGTAAGAATGTGCCTGCAGGACTCAAATGTAGATTGAAAAGGTTTATATATAGCCTTACTACCTTAGATAACCTAAGGATATACACACTCACATATGTACTAAAAGGCTGCCATAACAACTCTGCTTGCTTATTTTCATAGGTATTTGAACCATTGTACTTAACCTACTTCTCCTCACTCATGATTTGAATGAATAAATCCCTTTAAAGAATCCAATGGCAAATACCCACTATTAGCTCATCTATTGTTTGTTTTTACTCCATTTGAAGCGCTACGAGCACTTATCTACTATGATGACGTGCTTATCTTTTTGGCTTCAAGCAGGTCTGTACAGAAATGTTTCCAACATATCAACTGCATTCCAGATAAAATTGTTTACAAACTGTTTTTGCTGTGTGTCTATCCTGAACCCCCTTCCACATACCATGAAGACACATTCAATGTATAGAGCACTTGAGGTGAAGAATGCAACTGGGCGTGTATATGGTTCATGTATAGGCATGTCACTACTCATAAATCACTGAACATCAGCTTTATTATCCATATATCTAAAGTTACTCGCGCCATCCCAAAAGTACTCAATGTATTCACACGGATATAATTTATGTACCGCTCAATAAGTTTATTGTCAGCTCAATGATCAAGTGTTTCATTTGCTCTGCAGGTGTATATAAAGAGAGTTTATTAGAAAGTGGTGACTCCCGAACTGATATATAAAACACTTTGGTTACTTAATCACACATTCTATTAATGATGGTTAATTATTTAGCAGTGTCTTTAATTTTAATTTTTTATAGTGCCGGTCCCAAGCCCGGATAAATGGTGAGGGTTGCGTCAGGAAGGGCATCCGGCGTAAAACTTTTAGCCAAATCAAATATGCGAATCACCTGGAACCGTGATACTTTGTCTGGTATAGTCTCGTGGTTACTCATTTTGGTATTGTGACAACTCTAGTAACAACTACAGAGGGATAAAGTTGATGAGCCATACCATGAAGATTTGAGAAAGAGTAGTTGAAGCCAGGTTGAGGCAGGAAGTGGAGATTTGTGAACAACAGTATGGTTTCATGCCTAGGAAGAGTACCATAGATTACATTATCGGAAATTAGACACACACACATCAGCTTTTTTCTGTGCAGAGATACATTTATGATATCATGTCTTTTTAGTTTCTCATTCTTTTAAATTGGCTCCCACACACATTGTTAGTACTGAATGCATCACGCCACTACACCAGCAGACAGATCAGTCTGGCTGATGACAGGTCACACAAGCAGCTGATTTGATAACATTATCTAGATTTCGGTTTTTATTGTCATTTGATAAGAGTTATGATCTAAAGTCTATTTAGCCTATTTTTGGTGTATTACCTGGAGTCGGTGACCAGAATGCATGCAAATGTGCAACTCCACAAAGAAAAACATTATCTTCAAACAATATTTTTAAAATTACATTAATAAAATCAACTTATAGAGTAACGTGTGTTATATTGCCTATATTGCCTAAGTTTTACTCCTACCATGCATGAAGGCTTCATTCAATGTGGCTTTTACTGTTTGTGGAGATTACTGTTTAATATAGTCATACAATGATAGAGGAAGTCATACATTATTTTATATAGATTTTAACAAATTGTCAATTACATCATTGATACTTTTGTGCATAATTGTTTACACAATGCAGTTTTGTGTTTGTTTTTATTTCAATGTTAATGTTAGTACAGCAACTAAACTAACAAGAAATAGCACAAACCTAAATTGTTGAGCAAAACACGTTGCAGATTTGTTTTTGCTTTGTTTCTAATGTAATGTTGTGTATAGCTGAAGCAGCCAACATTATTTGTCCTCCATATTGTCAAAACAAGCCAGAACAGGATTTACTGTTCTATATTGGGAAACCAAACTGGACTGGACCACATGGTGCAAAACCAGCTTTGGCTTTAGCAGAGCAGGCTGAGCATAATCAGGGAGGTGTCCCTGTGTCTGAAATTTGGTTTCCCTTCTCGTGGTGTTATGTCACTAGTGGCCGTCTGCCCTGCATAGGAATGCACACTGTCTGAACCAAGCCAAGGAAAAGGGAGATGGGTAGAGTGCGTACATGTGTGCGTGCGTGTTTTCAACTAAAAAGGACAGCCGAAACATGATAACCCCCCCCCCCCCCCACACACACACACACACACACACACACACAGACTGACAGACCGACTGAAGAACAGACTGGAGGGAGATCAATGCTGTACAGTTATGGTAGATGGGGAAACTTACTCTCTAGTTTAAAAGTTCACTCACAAACACCATATTTGGATGGATGTGAAGAATTATAGAATATGTTTAATGTTTACCTTTAACTTGTTAATGCCCATCAGTAGCCAGAGAACATAAGTGAAGAAGCCCTTTTTGTTAATATGTCTCATAAAAACCATGACAGAATTGGGCAAGAGACACAGGAGAGTTTTCCATTCATTTAATCACACAAAAAAAACAACATACATAAGTGAACAGGTTTAAAGAGACCACCAGCATACATGTAGCAGCTGGGTTTTATTTCTTATTAAAATGTTTCTCTCTACAGTTTATATCTAATTGTAATATATTAAACATGAGATTAGGATTGGCCTGATGATAATGGGTTTGTGAAGAATGATATTGCCACTGTTCAAGTGAATATAAAGAGGGTAGTTTGTGTCTCTGTGTGTTTGTGTGCTTTTGTACCGCACAATCTTGGTTATGAGATGGTGAGAGCTTCAGACCTAACAGAGCTGAAGGTGCAAAGACTATTTTGGGATGAGGGGTGGAAGGACCAGAAGAGCTGTGGGGGTCAGGTGAAGGTAGAGGAGATTTTAGAGTAGAAGAGGTTCTTCCTCTACTCTTCTTTCTGACACCACCCACCTCACGAAACCTACAGTACCTACTTTTTCAGCCAGGTCATGGAGGCACATTCCATTCAAAAGATACACTCGACCCAATACCCTGCCCTCCCTCTCCGTGTGTGTGCATGTGTGTGTATGTGCACTCTACTTGACACTGCAGTGCAGGAGCCACGCTCCCATCTCTCAGTTTACCTTCAGCAGTGTGCCTTCCCCCACCCTGCTCTGTACTAATCAGGCAACACGAAGGAGCACAATCTGTCTACTCCTGCTCTTGCCTATTGTTCCTGGTAACTGTAACTATGTTTACTGGTGGCTTCATCATGCAGAACCTGAATGTCTGCCCTCAAAAACAAAATTCTAGGAATGTTTTTGCTCAGGAACAGGCTTGAGGCATTAGAATACACTTAGATTTACAGAATCTATTTTTTGGTTTTCTATTTTGCCTGCCTATGTACACCCATGCAGAACCCCCCCTCCTCTCCCTCTCCCTCTCCCTCTCTTCTCTAGTCAATCACAACTTAATATGTTTTTTGTCTCTTTGCAGGTCTTCGCATAATGAAATGGAGAAGAACAGGTATGTCAGTGCATTTGTGTTATGTATGTGTTGTGTGTGCTGCGTGTGTGTGTATGTGTATATAAGATAGTTCATATGAAAAGCAGCTCACACCACAGAAATCCCATTTCCCCACTGTTGCCATGGAAGTGTCAGAGTGTAAATTATGTGAGTTGGACTGGATGTGTGTATCCACATAATTTCATTGTTAAAGAGAGATATCATTTTACCATTCATTTATATCTTGAAAATTGATAAAATTGCAAGTGTTACACCTGTACTGTTTATGAAATAAACATTACTTCAACATGTTGGAAAAGGCTTGGGTGCTAATAAATACTGTGTAACCCCATACAAAACAATATGTTAGTTGTAAATGTTTTAACTGAACTAAACATGTGAACACACACCCTCAACAAACATCTGAACCGGATGTTTATTCTCAACAACATAAAGCTAATGTTGCTAATGTTGGAAATGGCTATTCCACGCTCGGTGGGCAGCCAGGGTGCTAGACCTGTTCAGCTGCTGGGACAGTATCCAAGATTGGTTTGGATACTTAAAGAATTTTGCAAAGCAAAAGGTTACATAACTGTTGCGTCTCATATTTCTCATCATCATTTGGCTCTCACATTACAAAATGTATAGCCACAAAAATAGGACCAAGATATTTGAATGAATCCATCCATCCATCCATTTTCATCTGCTTATCCATTACCGGGCCGTGGGGGCAGCAGTCGCCTCCCAAATCACATTGCACCGCACCATCCCCCCTGAACCTTCCTGCGGGTGGTGAGTCCACTGGAAGGAACCAACCGCCCTAACTGGGATTCAAACTTAACCAGGAGGTGGGGCCAAAGCGCCTATATGAATGAATGTCCCAAATATTTACCAACAATATAAGACTCTTATTAGAGCAACATGGTGCACAAAATGGACATGTGAATAATCTGTGAGTTCACTGGTGTCAACAGAAGCTTTGTTTTTGCACCTTCTTCTAGGACTAAGGACACAAACATGGTGTCATGGTTGTGTCAGGTGACTCACTTGTCCTGTGGTGCTTAACCAAGGTCATCTGGTTTCAATAACTCTCACAACACCTTTATGTAGAGCTTCAGGTGAACATACAGCATGTGCTCTAAAGCTACACGTACAGCTTTAAGGCTGCTGCTCCTCAGTTTGTCAGAGATCAAAGACACCAGTTTAATTCTTTTACTTTCTGGGGCTGCTCTGACTTCCACAGTGCCTCTGTTAGCTGATCTAAAGTAGCAGCTCCATGGGCATCTGAATAATGTATGTCACACAGTCCTGTGTGACATGTTTGTGTGCATTCATGTGTTGAGTATATAACCAACTGCCTGTTGTATTATGCTTGACAACACTTGAGCCATTTTCTGGTTTGATGATTGATAGAAAAGCAGACAATAGAAGGTCATGGTCACACACTGAAAGGGCCGCCTCGCCCATTGTCCCTTATAATTTTGTCTGCTACTTTCGTTCTTCAATTGTCGTAAAAACTTAACGAACTTCAGAGTGCACGAGCACTTGTTTTCATTCAGCCCCTGCCACACCTTTTCCCTCGTAATTCTTCTAACCAGTTGTCAGGGAGTTAATGCTTTGAGGTTAGAGGGTTAGAGAGAGGCTGATTGACAGCTGCTTCAGCAAAGAGCAACACACTGACCTAGTTGTAATTTTTTTCTTAGTAGGTTACAGTTCACTGTAAGAGGAAAACATGCCAGACTGTAAAGAACAGCACCATTCCATCAGTGTTATGCAACAAGTTTCTGCACATCTTACCTTTTTCAGAGTAAACAGGTGTACTCAAAGTATTCCTGAAAATCCAAAAGTAATGATTCCAAAGCTCAGAAAAAAAAACACTTTTTTGTATAAACTTCACCTAAGTTGTTTTTTTTTAGCCATGGCCACTGCTAGCTGGCTGATGTAAAAAGCTGTAGATTAAGATTTCTCTCATAGTCAAATTCAATATTCCTCCATGAAATGACACATGTTGTTGCCTTTTATTTTGTTCCAGTGCACCTGCTTTTCTGTGCACATTCAGGCCACCCTGACATAGAATACAATTTACATTTTTGATTGCACTGCAAGTAGGGCAAAATAATATTTTTTTATAAAATAAGTAAAGTAAATAAGTAAATAATTAAAATACAGTATGTAACTTTACGTCAGTAACAAGTTATTGAAAGTTTATCATAAAATATGGCTTAAAAATCTTCAAAATTAAGCATTTTTTTAACCCTGAAATAAGCGCCCCCCCACCGCTATACTCCCACCTTTACTGGGAAGATTTTGGTTGAAACCCAACCAAGATGTGCTTTTTAAAAATAAAGCAGAGGTGTTTTTGCTGACAGAAGTGTTTATTTCTGAGAGGTCAGTTGTAGATGAAAAAGCTGTTCTTCTTCAGAGCTACACTTTTAAATCAAATAAAATTGGCTTCATGTGCAAACAGTTAACACTGGTACTCAGACCAGTAGGAAAACACACACATAAACGTATATACATATATACACAAACTGTATTTAGTGAAAAACGAGTCGAGCCAAAAGCACCCAAACCTATAGCTGCAGGTCTAGACTGTTCATACTTATCTGCTGACACACTGAACTACAGCCACACTGAATCAGTATAACTTGTTGCTGAGTGGGTTCATGCCACGCCTGCAGTGTTTTTCTTCCTAACGCTCAAACAGCATGTGACCAGGTTCTGTTACCCTGTGTCTGTTGCTCTTCAGCACGGTTTGACAAACATTAGCCAGGCCCACTGATCCCTTATGTCAGAGCAACACAGACCAGGGCATTTCCATGTTACATAACCACATCCAGCTGCCTGCCCTTGAGACCCAATCAGCAGAGAATTACTTTCTTAATTTAACCTACACAGTAGTAACATGTCTGTGGTGTGAAGAAAAGGTGTAAAAACTTCTTTGAGAATCTATTGCCACAGGCTACATTTAAATTAAATAACATTTCTATGTGTTTGATTGTAATTAAGAAAAGGGGGGGACGAACAATAAATCTGTTTTGTTTATTTCTTCTATTCAAATCAGGGGTTGCCACAGCGAATCATGATTTCCATCTCTCCCTGTTCTCTGTATCTTCTCTGACTCCAATGTCCTCCCTCACTGCATCCATATATCTCCTCTTGCTGCGACTGACCTTCATTCCTCTTCTTTCTAGTGCAAACCTCCACCCTTATAGCATATAATAGGGTCATATGCCCTTAAAATGTCTGAACTCCTCTTCAACAATAAATTGTCATAAATACTCATGCACCTTCAATTAGCCAGAATTAGAATTAGTAATTTTCTTAGTTAGTATTAGATCATGTTTGTTATACTGTGTTGCAAATTCAGAGTTGTCAGATTTGGGAAAGAAGTGTGTGTGGATTTTTTTAATCATCAGTAGGACCCCATTTGAATTTCAGACGACCCAACATCAGGTCGTTATGCCAGGAGTGAAAAACTCTGGCTTAGTAGTACAGGCATTACGAGATATATGCCAAAGATGAAATACAACTAATAGATAAAGATCCATGTGGGGAAAAGATAGTCATTCCAATCAGTGATAAAAACAAAATATGAAACGTTGTGAAGTTAGGAAAGTAGTTTCATGTTTGCCTATGAATAGCTATATTTATAATAAACATGGCTATGAATTGGCCATAAACAAAAAATAATCGTCAGACTGCAGAGGGTCAAAGATGTTGTCTATTGCCCCTCCTGAAACACCTGGGATCTCACACCTGAGGATAAACTCTGAGTTCAGAATTGTGTCCAAGCTCAAAGACCTGAACACCTGGAGCAGGGGTGTCAAACTCATTTTCCCCCGGGGGCCACATCAGCAATACAGTTCTCCTTGAAGGGCCGGTTGTAGCTGGATAACTGTATAGCTCAGGGGTCCCCAAACCCCGGTCCGCGGACCAATACCAGTCCATAGGTCATTTGGTACCGGGCAGTAGGACACAGTAAAAAATGTACTTAATTTTTACTAATGTACTTTTTTCAAGGAAAATCCAGTCATATCCATTTACTTTCTTTATTTAAAGACAATCTGGCAATATTTAAAAAACGGTGGTACTGGCAGACCAGTCCTTGGAACAAAAAAGGTTGGGGATCGCTGGTATAGATGTAACTACTTCATAACAGACTTAAACATGTTTCTGCAATTGATTATTATTTATTCAAGCTACAAATATTGTTCATTGCAATTGTAAAAAAAAAAAAAAACCCGTGTAATTCTGCTGAAACTGCATGGACTTCACTAAATGCTTTTTAAGCTTCGGTGGGCCACACAAAATAGAAAAATAGCCCCCGGGCCTTGAGTTTGACACATATGACCTGGAGCATCTATTAGTACCATTAGTAAGTTTATACCATGTCATATCAGAGTGACATTTTTTGATTCTGTGGTGCCTTGCTGCATTAGCAGATAAAAAAAAACTGACCACTCATCCAGGCAGCCCCCAGCTACCAGAATAACTCACTGTTTGGGAGGAAGCAAACGTACTCACGCCCACTCGCTCAATCACCACACATACGTAAAAAACCCGCCAAGGTTGGACCTGGAGGTGTGTGTTGTGCAACAGAGAGGTCAAGTGGTCACAAAACTCCCACCATAGCCCAACCAACTGCCAGCTCAGAGCTGCAGCACAGTGATACAGGAGGACATGGAGACAATGTTATGTTATTTCCTTCTGAGGCTGGAGTTACTCCGTACTGCTATAAACATACTTTTAAGGACAATATATGATAATGTTGTAATTGTGACGTCTAGGAGAACAGGGATCTGAAAGAGAAAGTTCCCAACCTATTGTTATCTTCTGTTGGCTGTTTTGTCCTGGGTAATAACATCAGACTGTTTCCTTCCCTTATTTACATCATGTTTTGTTCCCTCTGCAGTGTCTCTGCAACTGTCTACATCCATAATTTCCAGTCTCTTCTTCACTACATGCCCTATCTTTTCTTTTGGAGTCTTGTCCTTGGTCATCATTTTTACAGTCTAACCTGACTATAATCACATCTTGTTTCCTGGTTTGTTCTGCATCCTAATGCATAACATTCTGCCTTTTGTTTTTGGCTGACATTTTTAATCCACTTATCTCAAGGTTGATAAGTGACTGTAAAGGAGTGACCTGATAGTCTTATGGCTTGGTCACATGCACCTTTTAGCAGCCGGTGTAGCATTTTGTGACTCCAGGGGGAACAGTTGGGAAAAGTGATACTCTGACCAACATGATGAGTCATCGTTGGCTAAGGCTTAAATTTTCTTTTGTGCGTAAGGTGTGTTTACATCTTGTGCTAATCGGGTTTTCCTTGCTACATAATTTGTCTGACCTAGAGTATTTGTGTTTGCTGAAATTAAAACCTGTTTCTATTTGCCTGATACATGTCAACTGTCCTAGTCCTGCAGTACGACACATGGTGGCAAATGAAAATAAGTAATGTTGGTAAACATCAGTTCTATTGTTTGATAAATTAGGCATCCCCTTATACTGTACCTGTGACTTTTTATAGATGCCTATATTGTGGGAATAAATTGAGGAGGGTACAATTTTTGTGTTTCTATGTTAATTCAATTTTCTTTTGCATTATAAAATCAATCATCAAAATAACCTATAAGTACAAGCACCAAGGATAAATGGGTTTGGTAATATTAAAAAAATGGGACAAGAAATTGCACACATTGATCACATGACGGGTCACATAGAAAAAAGCTTTTATTAAGACCAGGAATGAGTGTGTACGGTGGGGTTTGTGATTGACCATGGGCACCCACGTAAAGAGTAAGAAAATAGAAAAATAATTGATGAAGTAAGAAGAAATACCTGGCCTGATTAAGACGGTCACTCACTTTTAAGGCTCTGATGATAGTTACAACATTTTAGTGCATTTTAGTGTTCATGTTAGTTCTGTATTCAGTTGGTCCTGATTGGAAAGGAAGGTGAAGTGAAAGTACTGTGTCTGTTTTACTTAACACTTCTTCACAAAGAAAATATAAATGAGTTTTGAATTATAATTTTTTTGTTTCATCTCTCTTGCTGCAGACGGGCACATTTACGGCTTTGTCTAGAGCGACTGAAATCTCTTGTTCCCTTGGGACCGGAGGCTAACAGGCACACCACCCTCAGCCTGTTGATGAAGGCCAAAGATCACATCAAGGTCTCTGTCTGTGTGTGAGGCACACTGGTAGTAAAGTGTGTTGCAGCTGTTTGCTGAAGAGACTGAAATGTCATTGATAAGACGATAAGCTGAGCAGCAATTTGAAGGGCTCCTTCTAAGGGTTTTTGCGTCGTCTCTCCTCGTGGTGTTGCAGAGGTTGGAGGAGAGCGACAGAAAAGCTCAGCACGCTTTAGAGCACCTACAGCGGGAGCAGAGACATTTGAGGAGGCGCCTGGAGCAGCTCGGGGTGGAGAGAATCCGCACAGACAGTACCGGCTCCACTGTGTCCTCGGAAAAGTCGGACTCAGACCAGGGTAAGTCGGAAACTGACAAAGCGTCATATATATCTTCACTGCTTTATTGCATAATCATCTCTTCTTTTTACCTTTCTTCTTTTGTGTCCCACACCGTGACAACAGAAGACCTGGATGTAGACGTGGAGGGGACAGACTACCTGCTGGGTGACCTGGAGTGGAGCATGAGCAGCATAAGCGACTCAGGAGATGAGCGAGGCAGCCTGCGTAGCAGCTGTAGTGATGAGGGCTACTCCAGCGCCAGCCTGCTGCGCCTGCAGGACACTCAGGAGAGGGCCAAGCAGCTGGGCTGCAGCCTATAAAACAGCACTGGTTAACGACCCAGCACCCAACACCCTTCCTTTCCTTTGTCTATTCCGTCCCAACTTGGGTCCTCCTTCCTGCTTACACCTCACCCTTCTGTCTTTTCGTTCTACCTTCCTTGCCCTTTCTTTTTTTCCCTCTTCACTACGACTGACCAAGTCGAAGGATCCTCCTCCCACGACACCCGCCTTTATCTAGTTTGCCATCAGGGGTCAGTCTAAATGGGTGTTGCTCATTCTGCTCTGCACCAATCAAAAGAGTGAGAAATGTAATGTAGGCACTCCACCTCATTCACACCCCATCTAATCTGTCGAAACCACAACTTTCAGCCAGAGAATGTTACCACACAATATCCCACTGCCTCTGTTTCTATGCCTCAGCCATAGGAAGAACTTCAATAGATTTCACCCCTATTACACACACATGCACACATTCCCTTGTGCACAAACATTAACACAGGCTCACACACCCTCTAGCACATATATTAATACAGACACACAGCTCTCCATCACTCCTAGTTTTCCAACAAGACAAAGTTGTCTCTGAGGAGATGCTGTCATGATATGTTCACTAGACAACCATCTGTGCATGGTAATTTGCACTTGAAAGTTTTGGTCAACAAGAACTGTGTTGACTTTTTTCAAACTTATATCTTAAAGACAAAGATAAGCAGTGATTGTTGCCGTGAGTGAGTGTTTGACATCTGTCAGTTTTCTGCCCCCTGCTGTGTGGTGCAGCAGACTCTGTTGATACTACATCCAAATCTTCGGGGGCCTGCAGCAATATGTCCTTTAGCAGCCAGGTTTTTGCAGGCAACCTGGTGATTTACTTGTCATTTCTATGTCTTAGCCTGAAGCTCAAATGCGAAAATACGATAAAAAAAAAAAAAATTGTGCAGCATGAGATTGTGAAGGAGCCTGGGGTTGTGGGAAGCTGGGGGGTTGAGGGTGGGGTTAGGGTTAGGGTTAGGGTTAGATGTTTTCTGCTTCTCTCTCTGTCTATCTCTCTCTGATGACAGCGTTTTTTTAAACAGCATCTTTTTTATCTAACGTGTGTTTGTCACAAGAAAGTTTGGACACTGTTGATCACCAGCCACATTTTTGGCAGGTGCTGGTACATTTTTGTACAATGTCATTACTTTACTGCCCTGTTGGCCCAGACATTCGAGGGAAGGGAAGAGAAGGGAAGAAGGCATCTACCATGAGCAGTCGAGAGACTGGAGCACATTCCACGATGTAGAGACAGGACGGGTGGGTGAGCCTCAGAGCATCGCTTCTCACAAGTCGATGTTCCTGCTAGTGCTTCACACAGAGTGGGGCTCAGTTTGAGTGCAGGGTGAGTTGCCCAGCAGAATAACTAGTGTTGACTTTTCAGTGGGAATACACTTTGTTCTTGTATTCAGCTCCGAAAAGCACAACCTCCCCCCTCCCCCCCCACATATTTTCACTCCTTTGTCCTGCCTTGATAGCTATTTATTGTTTCTGCAAAAAAATAAACATGTAAATGTAAATAGTTTACAGAAAGAACTCTATGTCTATCAGCAAATGTATTTATTACATATACTAAATATATAGATTAATATAAATACATACAAATATATTTAATTAGTCCTAGCCCATGTTCTTCTTGTGAGGTTTACAAAAATGTTCATACATGTAGTTTGTTTGCAGAGTTTAGTCACGCTATAGAAAACATTTAGAGACGTCTATTGTGCCTCGAGGGTTTTGTGTCTGCTCAGAAATCTGCACAGTGCTATTTGCGAATAATTATTTTTCCCCTGTGATTTATTCTTATTCTGTTTTAAAGCCATCTTGCCCTATTAGCGAGAGATAATAGAACAAAAAAAATATTGAAAAGTTCTAAAAATGTTAATTTAAAAAAGTGTAAAAGTAAGAGGAGCTGGCAGGCAGTTGGACAGCAGAGATGTATCTGGCTCATTCTTTGGTGAAACCAGCTCATAATTGATTGGAAGAACAAGAACTCTGCCTTTGCTTGTTGGTTTGAGAACCCTATCCATGAGATAGTAACCTGTTAGATGGATGTAGAGCAAAGGTGGGATTGAAGCCTATGGATGTGCACACTTCACCTGTCGCCAGTAAATCTATAAGCATGAAGATGGTAGACCAAAAAAAAAAAGCAAAGAAAAATCTAACATTATATAGGTATATATATATATATATATATATATATATATATATATATATATATTATATATATATATATATATATATTGTATATATATCTATAA